AAAAACATACATATTTTACTTCCCGGTTGGGAAGTGAAATGTATATATTTTTTTAAATAATTTTTAGCCTGCAGAATCAATAAAGGATGACAGGCAAAAATTGATGACCTTTACCCGTCCTCCTCCTTTTTCGCTGCACAATATATACTAATTTATCATTAAGTATGTTCATGTTACTTACACTTTTTGCACTCTTAGCTTTCTTTTTATTCAATACCCGAAAATATATTTATCTTTTAACTGCAAAAATTTTCGGGAATTTTAGGCAATGCAAACAAACCTATTCTAAGATTCTAATTAGAAACAACATACAAAAGTGAGTACATTCACGAGATGTTGACCAATGAAATTATAAATATTCAAATAAATTCGCGCACTTTTGTAAAGTCTTGTATCCATGACGCTGGGAATCGGTTTAAGATCTCAGTTCTGGCAAATCTGAGATAGAAAATGAATAACAAATCAAATTTGAATAATTCATTTACATAATCAATGCGACTGGTCAATTTTTTTTTATCTTGAATCAATTTCTGGCATTGTAGACACAAGACACTTAATTTTCTACCTGATTACATAATCAATTTCCTTAAAAATTATACGTGCTTTAAATCAATAGTCGACAACACTGCAACATTTTCAAAAATTTTTTCATGGTTCGTGACACACGTGGCAGGTGATTCTGATAGGCTTCTCCTGTAAATTATAAATCCGTAATTGAAAATGTATATTAGATTTTTGAGATAAATTGGGTTAAAAATTAAAAAGTAAAAAAAATTCGTTTTTGGCCATTTTAAAAATTGTTTTTAAAAAATAGAACATCATAGAAATTCAGGTATTAGCTCGAATGAAAGCTCAAATCCTAAAACAAAGATACATAAATAACACGACATACGCACGATAACTATACGGTCGAAGCTGCATCTTGAATGCTTTAAATAATTTCATGTGAATTTATATATTACATTAGTAGTCTCTCGAATTACATGCTGAATTGTGGTAACATGATAAAATTTTTTTGTAGTGCAGATTTTTTTAAGAGTACACATCGACTACAGCATGTGTGCATGCCATCTGTATTATCACCTTAGAAATAAGAATTACATCCAGACAGCATGTATGTCTTAGAAATATCAGAAAGACATTTGAATTTTATCATGGTCTTATTTATCTTTATTTTACTGTTGTAGCTTAAGGTTCGAGCTAATACCAGAATTTTTATGATGTACCATTTTTTTTAGAACTTCAAAGATCCTAACCAAAAACACGTTTTGTCACCTTTTTAACCTGGTTTTTTTTTAAAAACCTGATAAAAACTACATTTTCAATTACGGAATTATTATCGTTCTATGGGGGAAATCTAATAGAATCACTTGCATCATGTGATAAAACAAAATCCTTGTTGTACAATGCAATCACTGACTTCAACGTGACAACTATTCCGGCTTAACGAGACGATAAAGATGCAACATTACCGAGTGATCAAAATGCTACATATGTGCATACTGAGAGACGAGAAATAAATACACATGTCCTTGATAGCATACAACAAGAATGAAGGAATTAATAATGAGTGCTTTCCATTTGATGACACAAGTTGACACAAGTGTCGTTCTATCTTTGTCATTCTTTGAATGTCAAGAAGGACGCTTGTGTCGACTTGTGTCGACTTGTGTCATCAAATGGAAAGCACCCAATAATACATTGTCAAAACTGTCGATAATAATTCCAAGTCGTGAAACTATCTTCAAAATACGAATGCACAACAAAATACTAGTCGATTAGATTAGGGGTTAGATTAGTTTATTAACTTACATCGCTCACAGTCTTTCCGATTGGAATGTGCTCGTAACCCTGCACCCGCACGTGATCTCTCTGAAATAAACGTAAAGAAATACGGATCACGCGTTAGTTACGGACTCACGCTCGAGGATGCTCGCACACTTACCCAGGCTTGATGTTCCGCCTCGAGAGCGGCGACCTCGCTCTCGTCGTCGCACGGTTTATCGGCGTTGAACCACAGCGGATCAGTAGCCCGCGGCCGCAGGTCGGGCCACAATGGTCTGATCGACATTACGAGCAATTTGAGAATGAGAGAATCGCGGTGAAAAATTTCTCAACGGATCATCACTTCAACCAACTTCGACCGACGACTCCCGTGTTTTGAGTTTGACTTGTGTTCACTTGTGTTGACACTAGGGATGCCTGATACTTTATCGATATTCTCAGAATCGATATTTTTCATCGATACTTCCGTTTCGATAATGTCGACGTATCGATACTTTTCGTACGTATCGACACTTTTGATGCTGTGAGGTCTGTTCGCGTTGCCTGAAATCCTTAAATATTTTTGCACTTAAAATGAGATAGATATAGATTTGGACGGTGAAAAGAGAGAAAGCGAAGCTGCCGAGTGCAAAAAGTGCATGCAACGCGAACAGACCTATTGATTCAAATTGGCAGCCATCTTGAAAACGTGGATTTTGAGTTTCGAGGTTCGAGTTAAGGCCATGGCACATACCAAAAAAAAAAAAAAACTTAAGACTTATGCGGGGTCTACAATAGAAGTCGTAGCGGTAATAAGGTCTTAAGTCGTAGAAAATTGACCAATCACAGTTGATTATTCTTCTCATATTCGACTGTGATTGGTCAATTTTCTACGACTTAAGACCCTACGACTGCTACGACTTTTATTGTAGACCCCGCATTAGGGTCTGAGCACAAAAATTGTCGCAACGGTCGAAAGGCCGGAATCAGACTACGCATTGAATATTGAGATTGACAATTGAAAGATTGAAATTTGACTCCAAACAATAGGAATCCAAACAATAGGAGCTAAAATTTCTTTGGTCCTCACTGGTCAAATTTCAATCTTCGATCTTCAATGCGTAGTCTGATTCCGGCCTAACCCAGATCTACAATAGGGTTTTAAACCTTAAGCCATAAGAAATGGGCGAATCACAGTCGATTATTCTCCTCGAATTAGACTGTAATTGGTCAATTTCTTACGACTTAAGACTTGAAACACTTATTGTAGATCCGGGGTAACGCTTACTTATAGCGAATTCGATTGGACGCACTCAGTGCGCACTGGTGCACATTAAAGCCGTTGTACACGAAATAACGTAAAGATATGTTTACAAATAAACATAGAGATCGATTAAATCGTGAAATACTTAATACATTTTATTGTACTATTAGGTAAAATATGTATTTCATAATTCGAAATATTTGCATTTCATTTTTATACTTAAATTAAATTAGTGTACAACGGCTTCAATATGCACCAGTGCGCACTAGTTCTTCCAATCGAATTCGCCATTAGAGACTTAAGTTGTAGACGTAAGCAAAGCTCAAGCCCATGGCACATACAAAAACGTTTTTGTATGTGCCATGGGCTTAAGTCCGAATCTACAATAGGTGTTTTGATATGGAAACGACGTTGAATTAATCAAAACGAGAAAAATATATAGGAATGGGCGATATGCATCTCAGTACGTTAAAAATTGTTTGAAAATCGCTCTTTTGATGAAAGGAAACGATTTTTTAAATAAAAAGATCGGATTGGAATAACCTCAAAGATGATTTCCATTCACTATTTTGCAAAAAAATTGATTTTTTTACGCATTGATATCGATATTGAGACATCGATATTTTCATGACCGATATTTTAAGGTATCGAAACTTTGGTCTACGACGCATATCGATGTAAAATATCGATGCAACTGAAAGTATGAAGCATCCCTAGTTGACACTTTGTTCATGATGGAAATAGAAATGAAGGTGTAATGGCCGCAGCACAGACTCTTGCATAACGCATAATGCATAGTGCATAAGGCAATCGAAATTCTTCTTTTCCATGGAATGGAAGGAAAGGAAAGATTCTGATTAGTTGATTCGCTTATGCACTATGCGTTATGCGTTACGCAAGAGTCTGTGCTGCGGCCTTAATGCTGGAGTCCCATGAGATGTATTTGCCGCGGAGAATAGAGATCCTCTAATCAGAGTCGCGACATCAGACAGCCAGTTTTGATTGGTCCGCCATTTTTCAGCAATTCCCGCCTATATTCGAACGTCTATGTTGTACGAATGGGCGATGCGCGTATCGATACGCTAAAATTCGTTTGCAAATTAACCTATTTTGCGAAAAATCAATTTTTTCAACCAAGATAGTGCCATTTTAAACCGATACCTTTACAAAGAATCGTTTCTTTTTTTAACAAGATTAAAAACTTCGTCTACTTCGAATCGATTTTTAGTGTTCCGATATGGATATCGCCCATTCAAAGTATATACATTTGTATTATTGTTAAAATCAAACAAAACAAGATTAAACGTTTTAAAGTTATTACTAGATTATAGATTTCTCACATTATATGTGGAAGTAATGCTTACTAAAAAAATGTTTTATTTTTTTATCAGAGATATGCATTTTTCGTTGGTGTCCAATTTTTTCCAACATTTGTTGCCCATAATGTTCGACGTTTAGCACATCACGCGAAAATATTTTTATATTGTTTTTCAACCATTTATTTTTCATATTTCAATTTTGGAAGATTAACTATTGTACTTACAATTCTTCAAATTATATTAATTTTTATATAATTATATAATTATTAATACATATATAATATCAATCGTCTAGGATGACATTTTCACTTTTCACAAGTTCACATAAAAATTTTTACTTTTCACAATTCACGCTAGGGGAAAAGTTTTATGATCGGTACCCTGCGTGTACCAATTCAGAAAGTGCAGCAATAAAAACAGGCCTTATGATACGAACACGGCCATAATTGAACTGCGTTCGGAAACGTTACCCGAGTGGCCCGAGTGCCTTCGTGTATCGTTTTATTCTTGTTGTTCACCCAATGTTGAACAAAGGTAGGACGATGCACGGGGTCACTTGGATAACCTTTCCGAACGCAGCTTTGAATAATCAAAGGTATTGGCAGTTAAGTTATTCGTGAATCGAAAGCAACTCTTGGTTCACGTGTAGCTCCGCGTGGCTCCGCGATGGCGATTGGCAGCAGATGGCTGGCGGACAGTGGCAAAATTCATCACGGTGTGAAAGTCATACAGTTCGCTAATGGACTCGCAAGTGACTGTTTGATCGCGTTCGAGAGGGTGAATGAATAGAAAGAACGGTGAGAAGTCGCGTTCCCAAGAATCTGTCTCATTCCTTCCGCCATCATCGCCTGATTCGTCTATTGGCCATCGCACAGCATCGTATAACCTTTGCAAAGGTAAGTGACTCCGAAAATCCAGATGTATCCACCGAACAACTTGGATAATTTTATTCCACATTTTCTTCCATTCAAAGTAAAGGAAACAGTTTGCCGACTCATTTCTCTTTGCGATTCGCAATAATAAGCGCAATTTTCGCAATTCTTACTGCGCGAGATCATATTCGCATATCTTGAAACGAATTTCTCACATGCCGTTCATCTCAGGTCATCTCGAAAAAAAAAAATGAATTTGTTTCATCGAAAACTATAAAAAAAATATTTTTTTCAAACTCCATCTCGTGGAGCGATAATTTCACTGCTAATCGATTTGCAGGGGGAATAATGGACCACACCAGTTATTTCCACTGGGTTGTATTCTTATCTCCCCTGACTAAGGGGAGGCATTTCTAGCACAGTGGCTGTGTTCAGCAGAGAAAGCAGCTTTGCAACTGTTGTAAAATTCTTCAATACGATTGGTTTATACATTTAGATCCATAAGGAATTAAAAGTAAGAGCCAATCGTATTGAAGGATTTTACAACAGTTGCAAAGCTGCTTTCTCTGCTGAACGCAGCACGCAGCCAGTGTCTCTATCCTTCTCTCAGCAGAATGGAGATGCTATTGTGAAGCGATTTCGTGTGACCTCCACTCTGGCATATAAAGCTTTGGAATAGTTTTTAAATAATTTAAATCCTGATATCCACGATGGATATCAGGTGCCGGTGAAAGTCTTCTTCCTTTTCTTCTTTTTGAATTCTCTTAGTGTAGGGCTGGCTTCAAACTTCCTAATATCTGGAAGTTTACTCAGACAATCTAGAAAGTCTATTTTTTTTTTATTTGAACTTGCATGATTTATGTTTCTTCTTTTCCTTTTCACGTTTAAAAGAAAAAGGAAAAGGTAAACTGCAAGAAGTTTAGCCAGAAAGAACCGATTTTATATCTAGTGGAATTGGTAGAATTGAACAAATTGTTTTAAGTGAGTACAAATATTCGTTAAAAGTCACAAACGTTAGGGTTAGGATTACGACTGAATTTTTTGTATCCGTATTTGGCGACTCTTTTGATTTGGGCAACTAAACCAATGAAAATCCTCTGTATTTTTAAATTACGATTCGTGTGTACTTAGAGCATCTTCTATTATTTTATGACTTTAGCTGAACATTCTCCTTATCCACAACATGCAGCTAGAGACGTAGTTTAGAAAGGCGTAATCTCCACGAATTATTCAATCACAGCGGTCGGCCGTGAAACAAGTTTCCTCAATGCGGATGTATCATTATGATCATCGTCATTCCACTCAAGTCTTTCCCCATCGTTGCATTTCTTTGTACCGTGGCGTAGTCACCTCGAACGACGTAACATATGTTACGGTGCCATCAGAGACCGCTCCGGCTGATAAAGAAGTGAATGTGTTCTATAACAGGCGTTTACTCTAATTTTTCAGAACACAGAGTTACAGTAAATTTCTTGCCGTTTTGCATTTCGCTAATGGTGATTAATTTTAATCTCGGTTTAACTTACCTTTTTTTAATTCTAATAATTAGAAAAAGGTGAAGACCAAGTCTAACCGAGATTAAAATTAATCTACATTGGTAGAAATAGACATTGAGCGAAATCGAGTACGAGCGAAGGAGATAATTCGAAGCGTTCCCTTTCGCTCGGCGGTGAAAGCGAATACCTGTCGCCGGATCGAGCGTAAGAAAAATTCCGTGTGCAACGCGAACCCGCAACGGATATTTTTTATTTACCGCCTCTTGCCTCCACACCCCCCACGAACGACCGCTAATTGATCGTGATTCACCGTCATTGATCCAATTGTAGCCAATATCGTCAACCCTCATCTGAGAATTTACATTGTCTGACGATAGAGTTATTACGGCGAGGATCAAACATGTGTTTGCGTATTTTATTCAAATATGCACGCATATATTGCATCATCCTTAAAGTCATCTGTTTTACCGACTAAATACATATAATTTTTATGACATTTTCGTATATATTTTATAGATCTGAAAATTCTTTTCCAGAATTAAAGTGGGTATACGCATTGATACGTGACTGTGAGATGGATATTTATGCCAAGAACGAATAAAATTATTTAAATTGATATCTTTTTTATGATCTTTCTTAATGTCTTATCTTAATTTTTTTTAATTTTTTTGTTAACAATTGTTAAACGAAAAATCAAAGATTTTTTTTCTTCACAACATTAAAGTACTTTTGAAACCGTACAACTTTTGTTTAAAAAATTTTTTCCATCTTTTATACTTCCGACGGTATTCGACTCGAAATAGAAATACCGTTTTTTTTTCCCCCGAAGGGGTGCTTCATCCCTTAAACATGAGTTAGCGCACGTATAAAAAAATATGTATCTCTTAGATTTTCGTGTTTAACAACATAAATATTTCATGGAGAATCAAATCGATTCCGGACAGTTGGAAAACTTCCCTTGTTAGAATTAAATTAGATACCTAATCCAATACGAAAATTTACGTTGCGAAAATTTATACATATATGTAGGTACGATATGTATTAATGTAACAATATATGTATATTATATACGTATAAGGATATGTCGATGTTCGTAAATCGTACGTGTGTAACGGCCAATTGTTCCATCTTCGGATAAATTATATCCGAAGTGATCATTTATCTAATGGACAAACAAGAGAATAAAAGAGTAAGGACATGAGAGAGATAAGAGAGTGAGCTGAAGTTTATATTGAAAGGTGGAACAACCCGAACAACTTGGCTTATATCGCATTCAGTAAAACAACGATAAGGTCGGAGCACAGATCTTTGTATAACGCATAATGCATAAAGCACAAGAAGATTAACCAGAATTTTTTATTTCATGGAAAGGAAGGAAATGAAGGATTTTGATTGGTTTATTTTGTATTATGTGGTATGCAATACTCTTCCGTCCATACTATCAGCATTCGATTTTTAGAATCCCTTTATGCCTGTTTCCAATGTAGAGTTAAGTTTAATCTCAGTTTAACTTATTTAAGTTTAACTTATTATCATATTTTAATTTTTTTCTTAGGACCAGAAAAGTAATCTCTAAAACTTTTAGAGTTAATCTCACTCTGAAGAGTGAAATATCACTCTTAAAGATTGACAATTCAACCACTCTATATTTCAAGACTAGCTTAATTTTCACTCTTTAAAATAAGATTCCCTTTAAAAAAATTTAGAGAGTAAATTGAACCGAGATTAATTCTTCGTGGTCCTTCTGAGTTAAAATGACCCGAGCATCATCTTTCACGCTAGATTTCAGAACCTTCCTGGCATCGAAAGAACGCGTACTTGCCATCGACTGGAGGTTTGAAGCTTCAACTATTGATAGAGATGCTTAGCTTTTTAATCTGACCGTTAGTATGCGTCTAGTAGTCATTCGCGCAAAAAGCGTTTTTTTTCTCGGGTCAGCAAGTGTGACCAACGCGTCATTTTCGTTAAAAAATTTATGATTTATATTTTTGCATTAAATTGTAAAAATAAACAAGATGTGGATTGTGTCCTTCAAGTAAGGATAAAAAAAACGATGAGGAAAGAATGTCTGTCGTATCTACGACCCATGTGTGATAAACACACTCTAAATCTGAATTAATGGATAATCTACTGAAGTGGCATATACTTGGTACTGAATTATCAGCATATCATATCAGCACATTTGGCATTGGCTAATAAGTGAAATTCAACTATAAAAGAAAAGAACTTTAAGCATTATATAGTTAAAATACCGATATTTTTCACGTTCTAGCACATTGTAATTCCAATCTTATAATATAATATAATACGTTGAATACGCTACACTTATATACTGAAGCAAGGTTCGCTAGATTAGAGATACTATATTTCATTCATTAATTAACAGCGGCATATTTGACATTGAATCAGTGATTATCTACTGATTCAGATTTAGAGAGCAGACTCTTTCTGTGTACTGAGATTGCTATAGCGAAGAGTAACGTTTTCTATGTATTTTTTGTATTTTACGTTTTTCACTTATATTTGTCTTCAATCTTAATAATAATAATAATAATTTTTACATTAATAATAACTTAAACCAATAATAGCTTTTTACCCGAATTTAACATGTTTTTTACACTTAAAAAACAACTATCTTCTATCTTAAAAATAAATACCTTTTTTGAAACACGTGTAACCATACTATTTTTTTTTTAAATATATCATCTCAAGAGTACTAGGCTAAAACTGCATTTAAAAATATTATAAATATATATATATATATACTATATATTTAAAAAGTTATGATTTTTTAAGTAAAAATGCACATTTTTCCGAACTTAACATATTTACGATTTTTTTTAATGTTAAAATTAAATTTTTAAAACGTCATTGTTCCATTTTCTTAAAGGATGAAATTATATATTGTAATTTTTTTAAATCATTGGAATTAATACTATTGATTTGGTAATACTTCGGATGCGTTCTATTTAACGTTCGCAACGCTCGCGAGCATCATTTCATTCTTATTGTTTTCAAATATTAAACAAGGATGAAATGATGCTCGCGAACGTTAAGTGGAACGCGTCCTTTAAAGATGGTTCGAGTCATTTTAATCCAGAGTAACCATCGTGTGGCTTTTTTGAAGTGTGATCACGAAGGGTTAAAGTTAATCTATTATCTAATTGGTAGAAACGGATATATAGTAAATCGTATCATTATTTGACCTCTTTCACGGAAGTTTTCGCGAGGTTGACTAAAACGTACCTTTTTGTACAATTTTTGAGCGATTAACTCTTCGCCAACAATGTTGTACTTTAAAGATACATTAATTTTTTTATTACAAATTCTGAGAGAATAAACAAATTTAAATCTGCAAAAAAATAAGTATTCAACTTTTATGATAGTAAAAACTCATTATTAAAGCTTTCACAAGTATGTAAACATTTTTTTTAGATTTCTATATAGTCTGGAACAATGTAGAAATGTGCACTGAAGTTCGAAAATCCTAGTGAACGAAGAATGAAAATTTGTGAAGTTACCATCTCA